CTCCCTGCTAATGCACCTGGGAAAAACAGCAGAAGATGGCTCAGTGCTTGGGTCCCTGTACCTATGTGGGAGACATAGAAGAAGCTCCTGGCTTCAGCCTCACCCAGCCCTGGCCATTGCAGTCATTTGGGGTGTGAACCAGTGGATGGAAGACACTCTCTCTCTCTCTCTCTCTCTCTCTCTCTCTCTCACTGCCTTTCAAATAAATAAAATAAATCTTAGGAAAAAAAAAAAGCCACCTCCTGCAATGTCAGGATCCCATGAGTGTCAGTTTGAGTCCCAACTGTTCAGTTTCTAATCCAGCTTCCTGCTAATATACCTGGGAAAGCAGCAGAAGATGGCCCAAGAGCTTGGGCCCCTGCACCCACATGGGAGACCTGGATGAAGCTCCTGGCACTGGACTGGCCCAGTCCTGGCTGTTGCAGCCATTTGGGAAGTGAACCAGGGGATGGAAGATTTCTCTCTCTCTCTGTAATCTCTCTTATTTGCCACAGCTTTAACCCACGGGTTCTTAATCTGACATCAGTGATTCCTAAAGTGGTAGGTAAGTAACACTGTTCCAAGGAAAGCCTAGAACTTTCCCCACATTCTCAAAGAAACCCATTTCTCCTCAAAATAGCAAAAACTGCTGAAGCTGATTTTGAAGCCACCACATTGTTTTTCCGTCTCAATAATCAATGGCACACACATCATGAATGGGTAGTTTGTCCTCCAGCTGTGCCACCGTGGACTGTGGCCACTCCTGTTATGAATCCCTATGGCCAAGGATCATTGTTTCAAAATACCTCATGTCCTTTAAATACTTGCCCTTGCCCCAATCTCCTTGGACACACCATTGCTGCTATTACAAAATAAAGGCCATTATTCTTTGGAGAATCTCTTATTTAGGTTGAAAATTACTACCATAATATATAAGGACAATTTTTATCTTAGCTTTTTTAAAAAAAAATTATTTTATTTATCTGAAAAGCACAATGACAGAGAGAGTGAGAGAAACTTCCATCTCTTGGTCCACTCCCCAAATGGCTGCAAGAGCCAGGGCCAAGCCAGGCTGAAGCCAGGAGCCTGCAATTCCATCCAGGTCTCCCACATGAGTGGCGAGGCCCAAGCACTTAGACCATCTTCTGCTGCTTTCCCAGGCCATTAGCAGGAGCTGGATCAGAAGTGGAGCAGCTGGGACTCAAAACTGTGTTCATATGGGATGCCGATGTCAACTTAACTCACGGTGCCATGACACAGGCATGAGTTCTACCTTGAATTTCTTGCCTGTATTCCATTCAGGGGTGGAAACCTTTTTGTTCTGCCGAGAGCCCTTTAGATATTTCTAACATCACTCATGGGCCATGCAAGGTTATCAACTTAAACATTAGCCTGCTATACATTTACTGAGTATTGAGTCCTGTCTGCGGTTACCTTGGCAGGGCTAAATGACTTCATGAGCCTTAAACAGTCTGGGCTAGATGTTCCCCACCTTACTGAGCACAAAGTTGTCTCCTGGTTTTCTCTCCCTCTGTGCCATGCCTTTCAATCTTCTACTAGTCACCCAACTTCTCACTGTTGGAGCTCCCCGCCCCCAGGAACAGCTGTGAGTCTTCTCTCTCTAGGTCATCTCAGCTTTTCCAATGATCTTACGTGCTAACACATGCTAACTCTCCCATTTTTAATTTCTAGGCCAAACTGCCTTTTTGAACTTTTTTTCAACTTATCCCCTGCCATCTTCGTTTGGACACGTCAGTGGAATCTCAAATTCCTAAATGGCTCTGCTTTCACTCTTTCCCATTGTTTCATCACCTTCCACCCAGTACTTCAAATCAGAAGCCTCAGTATGAGCTCTGGTTCCTCCTCTCCCTTTGTGCCCTAGGTCTTAGTCTGTTTCTGACTCTCTAACTGAATACCGGAGACCACGTCATTTACAAAGGAAAAGGGTTTATCTGGAGCCATGGTTCTGAAGGCTGGGAAGCTCAAGACAGGGTGGGTGCACCTGCTAAGGGCCTCATGCTGTCTTAAGATGGAGGCAAAACAGAAGGGTGGGCAGGAGCATGCAGAAGGTGGGGAGGGGATAGAGGAGCCGCCTGCTGAGTGACAGCCTGCTCTGCACAGGAACTGATTGATCATTCCTGTGAGAACTAACCCAGCCTTGTGAGCAGGACATTAACACACACACACACACACACAGAGCCCATCCCAGCCCCACATCCAACAAACTGTATCCAAACCACAGCATCCTCTATCTCCTCCTCCTCCCTCTCAACTGGACCTGCACTGCTTCCCCCTCATTTATCCCAACACTCACCAGGGTAATGAAAGCCACCCTCCTCCTCCTCCTCCCCCTAATCCATCTCTCTGCCTTCCAGAGATCAGGATGAGTGACACTTCAAAAACATTAACTCAGAGGATGCCTCTCCTTGGCTCCCACCTCACTGCGAATGAAATCTCAACATCCGAGCCTGGGCAAAGCAAAGGCCCTGGCGTGCCGGGCCCCGCCCCCTCTCCCACCACCCACAGTAATCTCTGAGCCGCTGCAGGTCTGCCTGAGGACCGTCAGGTCGGTGTGTGCCCTGGCGGAGTACTAGCCTCTCTTCACAGGCTGGTGTCTCCACTTGTCTCAGCCTCTCTCCGGCCTCCGCAATCCCTCTTCGCTTCAGAGCAGATGTCTGCACCCAGCCCCCTCTTCCGTGCCCTGTTGATTGCAATTTCTATCTATTCATTCTCTTGTTTACCATTATTTATAACTCCACAGTGAGGTCCATGAAGGCAAGAACATTCAGGGAGGACACAAGGCCCCTCTCACAGTCCTGAGCCCAGTAAATATTTGCTGAGTGGATGAGTCACAGCAGCAGCACACAGACCCCCGCGTCCCACCTCTGTCAGTCTTCCAGTCTCCATGGAAGTGCTGATTTCTAGTCTGGTTTTCTTTGATTAAAAATGAGACACAGCTGAATGCATTCATTGGTCCAGCCACTAGTGGAAGACCCATTGCCCCAGCTGGTAACACAGTGCTTCCAACTCTTTTTTTTTTTTTTTTTAAAGAATTATTTTATTTATTTGAAAGACAAGAGTTAGAGAGAGGCAGAGCTAGAGAGAGAAAGTCTTCCATTCCACTGGTTCACTCTCCAAATGGCAGCAACGGCCAGAGCCAAGCTGATCCGAAGCCAGAAGCCAAGAGCCTCTTTTGGGCCTCCGACGTGGGTACAGGGGCCCAAGGACTTGAGCCATCTTCTACTGTTTTCTCAGGCCATGGCAGAGAGTTGGGTCAGAAGTGGTGCAGCTGGGACTCGAACTGGCACCCATATGGGATGCCAGCGCTGCAGGTTGGGGCTTTAACCCGCTGTGCCACAGTGCCGGCCCCTTCCAGCTCTTTCTATGGTCACCTTTCTGTTCCCACATCTCACATACCTATTCCTCCAGCCTCTGCTGAATGTGAATACAGAATCTCCCTAAATGGTGGCTGAGTGGTGTGTTCATCACTGATTATTTTTCTTACCACACAGACACTGTTTTCCATGTGGCAAGACAACATGTAACTAAAACAGTAATGCTTACTTTACAGGAATTCTGTCTTTCAAATGTCTAAACATGGCTAAGCCACCTCTGCAGGTCAGCCTGGTTAACATAAACATGGAACTGCCTCATTCTCTCATTCTTTTTTTTTTTTTTTTTGACAGGCAGAGTGGACAGTGAGAGAGAGAGACAGAGAGAAAGGTCTTCCTTCCGTTGGTTCACCCTCCAATGGCCGCCGCGGCCAGCACGCTGTGGCCGGCGTACCGCGCTGATCCGATGGCAGGAGCCAGGTGCTTCTCCTGGTCTCCCATGGGGTGCAGGGCCCAAGCACCTGGGCCATCCTCCACTGCACTCCCTGGCCACAGCAGAGAGCTGGCCTGGAAGAGGGGCAACCAGGACAGAATCCGGCGCCCCGACCGGGACTAGAACCTGGTGTGCTGGCGCCGCAAGGCGGAGGATTAGCCTAGTGAGCCACGGCGCCGGCCTCTCATTCTTTCAAAGACAGCTTAGATCTTCACTTAGCTTCTCGGTATTTAATTCCTCGGCGTCTCCCCTACACATAAATGCATGTAGTGAGTTCATGTTTATATTCATGTAAAAAGAACTTCTTTTTGTAAAAGATGGATGAAACTGGAAGCCATTGTACTGAGTGAAATAAGCCAGTTCCCAAAAGACAAATTCCATATTTTTCCCAGAGCTGTGGTAACTAACAGAGTGCAAAAAATGTCATGTACATGAGCAGAGTTGACATTTTGAGATTTGATTACTGTTACAGCCCTGGTTTCTACAGCTGAGGAACAGTATTTTTTGGTTTTTCTTCTTACTACTTGTTACATTCTTTTTTTTTTTTTTGACAGGCAGAGTGGACAGTGAGAGAGAGAGACAGAGAGAAAGGTCTTCCTTTGCCGTTGGTTCACCCTCCAATGGCCGCCGCGGCCGGCGCGCTGCGGCCGGCGCACCGCGCTGATCCGATGGCAGGAGCCAGGAGCCAGGTGCTTTTCCTGGTCTCCCCTGGGGTGCAGGGCCCAAGCACCTGGGCCATCCTCCACTGCACTCCCTGGCCACAGCAGAGGGCTGGCCTGGAAGAGGGGCAACCGGGACAGAATCCGGCGCCCCGACCGGGACTAGAACCCGGTGTGCCGGCGCCGCTAGGCGGAGGATTAGCCTAGTGAGCCGCGGCGCCGGCCTACTTGTTACATTCTTTACTTAGTAGAGGGTTAAGCTCATGATTATAAAATAAACTGAAAGTATGTCATTGTAAAAATTAAAAGAATGAGAAAGGGAGGAGGAGGGAGGGTGGGAGCTTGGGGAGCGGGAGGGCCGGGTGGGAAGTCTCACTGTGCCCCGGAGTCTGTATAAATGAAACACATGAAATCTGTTCACCTTATATGAATAAAGACAATTATTTTAAAACAAAGAAACACATATGAATCTAAACATGGTGCCGGAGGGCAGGGTATTCCTTAGAAAGCATTTTATTATCAGAACAGGACGTCTGCTATGTTTTAGGTCTATTTATTATGCTGTTTTTACAAGTAGCAAAGCCCTTCCATTTGCCCCGGGTGAACAGCCCTGAAATATAAAAAGCCCCTAATTACAGACAGCCTCCCGCCCCCGCCCCGCCTCTGGGCGACCGGGAGGCTGCGGCCCAGGAGCGCCTCCTGGAGGTGGCGGTGGCTTCCTGGCGAACCTGGTCTTGAACTCCGGCACTCTCGTCACTCATCCTCTTGCTGGTTTCTTTTCTGTCAGGAAACAAGAGCACACTGAGGCCGCACGTTCTAACTGGGACACGAGCTCGAGTTCCACCAAGAGGGCTTTCCTGTCACCCAGTGTCATGCTCTAGAAGCCTTGGAAAAGGCTGTGGCTGAAGATGATCACGTGAGGACAGACCTTAATTCATGCACTAAACCAGTTCATCATCTGGCCTCCTGAGCAAAGGACCTGAGGCATTTGAATGTCTTCTTCATATAAACACTCCCACCCAGAAAGGCAAATGCTCCCCTCCCCCTCCCGGGGCAACCCCAGCACAGGTCTGATCTTTGTGGCGCCCCAGAACAATACACAGACTTGCCTCAAAGTTACAGGTATTGTGAGAATTGTTCAAAAACCACAAACATTATAAAAGAAAAAAAAGTCTGTCATTCTAATCAATGAATTCTTTCTTCAGGTCACATTGCGTATTTCATTTTAAAATGACCTAACTCGGTGCTTCTGTTCCTTAAATTCACAGTCAGACCAAAAGCTACCTAGGTGGTGGGAGGGCTAAAATGCAACACTAAAATTTAGCTAAAGGGGAAACCGACGTGACACACTTAGACTTTACCAGCTTCAGGAAATCTATCAGCTTGTGAGCGTCTTCCCCCGTGGAGAGGTCCACGAAGTCCTTGGGCAGCCGGTAGCTCAGGTAAGGGCTGGGCTGCACGGTGACCTCACTGTCGGTGCAACGGAAAGCGGGGCAGTCCTTCACACAGAGAAAAGCAAAGGCTTGGCTCAGGTCCACTAGTATTTCTTTCTTTCTTCCTTAAGATTGATTTATTAGAAAGGCAGCGAGAGAGCGACAGAGCGAGAGAGCGACAGAGCGAGAGAGAGAGAGAGAGAGATCTGCGGCTGCGGCTGCGGCTTTCCCAGGCACGTTAGTGGGGAGCTGGACTGGAAGTGAAGCAGCCAGGGCTGGAAGCAGCACTCCAATATGGGCTGCTGGCATCTCTTAACCTACGGTGTCAAAATGCTGGCCCCTACCAGCATTTCCTGAACTAAAAAGGATCCTGGGGTAACAAATTCATGTTCTTTTCTGTACTAGATAAGGAAGAAAAGAAGATTCTAAAGTCAAAGAATGGGGCCAGCACTGTGGTGCAGCAGGTTAACGTCCTGGACTGAGGCACTGACATCCCATATGGGCGCCAGTTCGAGGCCTGGCTGCTCCATTTCCGATCCAGCTCTCTGCTATGGCCTGGGTAAACAGCAGAAGATAGCCCAAAAAACTGGACCCCTGCACCCATATAGGAGACCAGAGGAAGCTCCTGGCTCCTGGCTTCGGATTGGCGTAGTTCTGGCCATTGCAGCCATCTGGGGAGTGAACCAGCAGATGGAAGACCTCTCTCTCTTTCTCTGTCTCTCCTCTCTGTGTAGCTCTGACTTTCAAATAAATAAATCTTTGAAAAAAAAAATTCAAAGAAGCCACGAAGATTAAAAAAATAATTCTATACGTTCACTGGAAAGTCAACACGTATCTGAAAGCACAGTGCTGCTGGCGGGCTCGTCGATCCCTAAGTGCAGCCAAACGTGCAGCCAGCGTGTGCTGCAAACGAGCTCGTATCTCTGCAGCCCGAGTGGGCCCGGGGGCTTAGGCCAGTCACCTCTGGCCTAAGACAGGCTAGAATGTTTTATGCATACAGGTACACAGCTGGGCAGTACTGCCGTAGAGGGCAAAGGAGTGCTCTGCATTCCATAGCATTTCTGTACTTCTCTTATTTGTGTATCTCTCTCATTCCCTAAATAAAACTGCAAATTCAAGTATCCCTTTTCAAATAACTTTTTCAAAATTCAAGAGCCAGAGAGGGGAAAAAAGAGAGAGAGTGAGAGACAGACACAAAGGAGAGAGATCGAGTTCCCATCCACTGGTTCGCTCCCCAAATGCCTACAGCAGTTGATGAATAGACCAGGACAAAGCTGGAAGCTGCATTCATTCTGGGTCTCTCATGTGGGTGGCAGGGACCCAAGTACTCAACATCACTGCTGCCGCCCAGGGTTTGCATTAGTAGGAAGCTGGAGTCAAGAGCCAGAGGTGGGTATTAGAAGGTACCCCAATATGGGTTGCAGGCATCTTACCCAACATCTCGATGGCTAGGCCAAACACCCACCCTTCAAGTATCATATTGAATGAGCCTTCCACATTCTTTAATGCACCTTCTGAGTCTACTTACTAGTATACTAGTAAATATATGTGAAAAGTCACATACTATTTACATGTTGGTTTGTGCCAAAAAGGACTCTGGGGGCGGGGCCTGGACCTCCTGACTGGCAGATATCAAGGCAATGCCCGGCTGGATGGTGCCCAGCGAAAGAACTCAGGGCAGGAACTTAAATGGATGAGTGTGTGGAGCTCTAGAAACCAGGCTGCCTCTTACTACAGACAGATCAATCATGGGGTCCAACAGTTGAGAAATATTTACTCTGTGCCGGACTGTGTTCCAGGCAGAGGAGGTAAACTGATAAACAAGACGTGGAGACACACAGTAAGCGAGCAAACAGATTACAAGGTCATTTCAGACAGCACAACGTGCTACAGAAAGGAAGACAGTGGGCAATAGCCCAAGAGGAGAGCAACGGGGACTGCGTTAGAGGGGCGGGCAGGCGAAGCCTTGCACGCGAGGGGCTGTGTGGGCTGAGAGCGCCCCGGGGTGATGAAGGCAGCCTTCAGAGGGCCTGGGAGAGGAACAGGCCCCGCAGGCAGGAGGACCATCCAGTACACAAAGGACTTAGGAAAGGTGGAGCTGGGCCAGCCTCTGTGGCCTGGGCACGGGAAGACAGGCAGCAGGTGACCCTGGGGAAGAGGCAGGGTCCAGTTCATGCTTGCCTTCTGTCATCCCCACCCTCCAGTTCTTAGAAGAAACGAGGGACTTGGAGTTGAATACTGCACCGTTTCTATCCCTTAATTGAGCCTCTTCCGTGTATAAAAAACGCCTGGGCTGAGTAATTTACATTCCCCCTGCTGATTTCTCAGACTTGATGGCTCACCACCATCAGGTGTCAGAGGGACAAAATGCCTTCCTCCATTAAACTGACAAATGCACCCATGCCTGACACTGTGCTAAGCGCTGCAGATGTCCTGAGAACAAGAGACACTTTCCCTCTTCTCCAAAACATCCAGTCTCCCGCAGGACATGAACAAGCAACAGGCAGCCTTAACACAGGACGGCAAGCATGAACAAGCGCCTAAGAGGGTAAATACGGGTGTGACACAGCGCCCAGGACAGAGCAGTGACCCGAAGAGACAGTGCAGGGATGGCAGGGCAATAGAAAGGTGCTTGCAGAGCAGACAGGAAGGGACCCAGGAGCAGGAGCCCAGGGAAGAAGTGGTACAACAGGAAGGGAGCCGTGTGTTCACGTGCTCTCCCAGAGGCGCAGGACACGGCATATCCCCGTGTCTAAAGTGCAAGGGCACGGTTAGTGAGATCAAAGGGTTCCTTCGTATCTCCTTTACGTCTCTTACCTGCTCCTGGGCATCTCCTTCACTAAAATCACCTCTCAGGTTTGTTTCAGAGATGAGTTCTTCCCAGGTGAACAGCAGTGAGTCTGTGACTTCCCCGAATGGATTAAAGTCAATTAGCCACACCTTCCCCTGCAGCACAGAGAGGAAAAAGCATGAAACACAGTCCACACTGTGACTTATGAGAAAGACGATCTTAAAATCTTATCACTTATTTCAAGACAGTTCCTCCGGGTCCCCTCTGAGAAGGGGCTAGATCAGACAGGTGGCGTTACAGGGAATGTCACCTGGGTAGTCAGTGAGAGGGGACCGGGAAGGAAATGACCCGGCAAAGGCAGATAACTCAGCTCCCGCCCCAAGCCACATTCAAATCCTAGGTTACAAAACCCAAGCACAAAAAGGAAGATCTCACAAGACCGCGCCCTGGCTGCGGTGGGACTCCGCGCCACCTGCAGGGGTCCTGCCAGGCACAGCCTACGTAGGCAGGCGCCGGCAGCTCAGCCAGCCACCTCACTCTGCTGAAAGGCTGTGGCAAAGGGCAGCGTTTTGGTATCTTTTAACATATGGAACGAAGTACGCAAGTGCTCAATTTTCTTTAAGTCATAACACAATATTTGTTTACATTAATGTTAACATAATAGTTGCTGTATTAATAGCAAATGAAAGAGAGATTTTAAAAAAAATCCAACTTTGGAAAGAACTTTCTAGCTTCCTCTAGTCTGAGAGCACAGGTAGGCAATGTGGTAGCCACTGGCCTCAGGGAGAGGATGCTGAGCGGGTGGGACCATGCTTAGATACGGTCAGGCACCAGCCCCGTGCAGCCGGGTGCATAGCCCTGCCTAGAGATGCGAGCCTGCCCGCTGGATGACAAAGGCCTGGGTGACACGTGGCAGGTACAATGCCGGCTGTTTTTATATTTTATATTCGCTCCTCTTGTTTTTTCTCACTAAGACATTCATCTCTATATGGTTTTGCTGTTAACAATAAATTACTCTTCTTCATAAACATGCAACTCGCACGTCTTGCTCGTGTGTATGTGTGTGTGTGTGTGTGTGTGTGTGTAACATGAGGACCAGGGCTGCGGGGCCAGTACTGCATTTAGCACTGTTTCCCACCTGGCTTAAGAACATTTCAGGAAAGAGGAGACATCTTATTAGGACTTGCTTCACACATCCTCTGGGAAGCATCTTCAGAACTAGTACAAGAAGCTCCTGCCATCTGCCACGTGGGAGAAATCGGCAGCCTTTCCTGCCGCTTGTGTTCCTCCCTCACATCAATCTGGCACCCACTTCTGCCTTCTTGAGCCATGGGAAATAATGGCCAGCAATCAGTTTCTTAGCATAATGCCAGCCTTGTATTGGGGGACTATTATTAAAATGGCTTTGCGGCCGGTGCCATGGCTCACTTGGCTAATCCTCCGCCTGCGGCGCCGGCACCCCGGGTTCTAGTCCCAGTTGGGGCGCCGGATTCTGTCCCGGTTGCTCCTCTTCCAGTCCAGCTCTCTGCTGTGGCCTGGGAAGGCAGTGGAGGATGGCCCACGTGCTTGGGTCCCTGTACCCACATGGGAGACCGGGAGGAAGCACCTGGCTCCTGGCTTCGGATAGGCACAGTGCCAACCATAGCGGCCATTAGGGTAGTGAACCAACAGAAGGAAGACTTTTCTCTCTCTTTCTCTCACTGTCTATAACTCTGCTCTCTCTCTCTCACTGTCTAACTCTGCCTGTCAAAAAAAAAAAAATGGCTTTGCAATATTGTACGTTATTTTTTTAATGGGTATTTCCTAAACTCCAAACCTTTTCTATTTGACTTTAGATTAATAAAACTATCTTGCTATTAAGAGAAAAAAGAAACTTGCACTTCAAGCCACCACTTGTTAGCTGACAGAGTTTATTCCACAGTTCAGAAGCCATTCTTCAGTACTAACAAACAAAATAAAACTTGCTATATATAATCAGGTATAAAACTATCAGGGTTAGGGTTTTATAGCCATAATATGTGACATATTGGGCATAAATCATTCAGATAAATTAATTCCATTTTAGGGCAACCCATTAAAAAAAAGAACAGTCAGATTGAGGTTCCTTGGACCTCCCAACTGACCACGCACCTACCCAAGCAAAGCTCAGTGTACCAGGCAGTGTTGGACTGAGGCATAAAGATCAGTAACACAGAACTGAATTCTTCAGACAGCTCAGCCTGGGTCAGTATACACGGACCACACACACACACACACACACACACACACGTACGCACATCCCAAATACAGGAGCCAAACACCTGCAATCAGAAGGCACTCCGCTTCCATAGACAGGAGGAAGAGGGTAACACGAGGTTACAGGAGCACAGGAGACCCTGACGAGATCTGCGAGGGGAGGCTGGAAAAGCTTCCCCCATAACTTGGAGCGTGCAGGACGACAGCAATGAGGATCTGAGAGGAGGTGGGAGGGAAAGGAGCCACTGCAGAGGAAAACAACGAGAACAACGGAAAGCAGAACGTGCGGCGGCCCTGTGAGGACGTCCATTTTCCGGGAATGGGTGACGAGAGCTAAAGTGTAAAATACTTGAGGGCTCCAGAAACACGCTGGGCTAAGGGAACTTTAAAAGCTTCCTGTTCTAGACAGGATGCAACTGAGGCTAAAATATTCGCTTGAAATGTGCAAATCAGAGGCTGGCGCCGCGGCTCACTAGGCTAATCCTCGGCCTCACGGCGCCGGAACACCGGGTTCTAGTCCCGGTCGGGGTGCCAGATTCTGTCCCGGTTGCCCCTTTTCCAGGCCAGCTCTCTGCTGTGGCCAGGGAGGGCAGTGGAGGATGGCCCAAGTCCTTGGGCCCTGCACCCCATGGGAGACCAGGAGAAGCACCTGGCTCCTGCCATTGGATCAGTGCGGTATGCCGGCCGCAGCGCGCCGGCCGCGGCGGCCATTAGAGGGTGAACCAATGGCAAAAGGAGGACCTTTCTCTCTGTCTCTCTCTCTCACTGTCCACTCTGCCTGTCAAAAAAAAAAAAAAAAAAGAAATGTGCAAATCAGATTACCAGAAAGAAAGGGGACCAGCCAGGAGCCATAAACGAAGAGGAAGCTGTGAGAGGGACACAAGGCAGGGTTTCCCCCACAAGAACCTAAGGCTTTCATCCGCGCTGCACAGGACACAGGCCTGCAGAAGGCAGGCAGAGCTAAGTGACTTCAGAGGGCTGCAACCTCAGTGAAGGGCGGGTAAGAAAAGAATGCCAAGGGCAGGAGCAGCAACAATGACATCTTTCCCTCACTGGATGTTGGGGAACATGAGAAAAGCAAATGAAAAATTCAAAATCTAGGCTCTTTAGGATTCTCATCAAAACAATACAAAAACAAACAAAACCCCAAACGCACTACAGATGAAGTAAAGTCAAATAAACAAAATTGATTTGTAGCATCTTTTAAAGACAATAAAGATGAATGAGGGGCTGGTGTTGTGGTGCATAGGTTAAGCTGCTACCAGGGGCGCCAGCACCCCATATAAACTCCAGCTGGATTCCTGGCTGCTCCACTTCTGATCCAGCTCCCTGCTAATGCACTTGGGAAAGCAGCAAAGATGGCCCAAGAGCATGGGCCCCTGTTACCGAAGTGAAGACCTGGTGGCTCCCGGCTTCGGCCTGGCCCAGCATTGGCTGTTGTGGCCATTTGGGGAGTGAACCAGTGAATGGAAGATCTCTCTTTCTCTCCATCTCTATATCTTCTCACTCTGTAACTCTGCCTTTCAAATAAATAAATCTTAAAGAAAAAAATGAATGAGACTCTGAAAATACAACAAGGATTAAAGCAATAAGAATTTGGGGAAATCCTTACCAAAAAATGAGGAACACAGGTACTAGATTAGGCAATGCGGTTACAATTTACAGAAAAACAAAGTAGATCCATATTGCTTACCAATCAGACAAGTGCCAAACAGACCATAGATTTAAATGTAAAACAAGAAGTCATAAAAGTACTAGTAAAAAAAAAAGGGAAAGTATTTCTTAAAATTATGACTCAAATTCAGATGTTATAAAATAAATGACTAATACATTCAATTTTCTCCATGGCAACAGACTATCAGATTGAAAAACATTACAAAGGCCTAGTCTCTGCAATAAATAAAGAGTTCCTTTAGTTTGAAGAAAATAAGATACTTGAACAAAATAGAAAAGACACGAAGCAACAGTTCAGAGAAATTACCCTTAAATATATGAAAATATAAACTTCATCTTCATTCAATAAGAAAGACTGAAATTAAAACTACACTGAAAACATTGCTTCTCTACCAAAACCCAAAATGATCCTACAAAAGTCTGATTGTATACTTAGTCAGCAAGCTTTGAAGACACATGCAGGTTCTGTGGGATTTTGTCTGGCCTAATTGGGGAAGGGAAACTACAAAATCTACCAAAATGAAAATGCATTGAGTCTTTGAACCGGCAGCCCCACCTTTAGGAATTGATTCTGCAAATATGAAACAACATGGGGACAGAGTTTTCACCACAGCACGGTTTGCAAGAGACAAGAAATAGCCTATGTGAGCACTGAGAGAGAAGTGGCTAACAAGCTACACAGTCTACTGGCATACCAAAATGCTACGCCACTGCAAGAGGCCGGAAAGTGCAGGAGACACTGGTCTTTAACACTGTGAACCAAACAAGGTCTGGAGTGTATATCAATGCCACCTCTTGCACAAGGAAAAAAAAAAAAAAAAAGGATACTGCTTACTGCTTGTTTTGTATCAAGAAATGCTGGAAGCACATATAAGAAATTAATAAAAGTGTGTGGGAATTAAAAGTGTGTGGGAATGTGTTACCAATTAAAAAATGCAAAGTCAGTGGGTTTTACAGAGAGGTGTTTGCCAGGGTCTCGGGTGCAGGGAGAGTCATAAAAGAAGCTGGGGCAGGGAAAGGCTCACTGGATGATGGTTTTGTGACTGGATGTGTTGGTCAAAACTCAGAACTCTACATGAAAACGCCATTATCAGCTGCCCCCAGGATGCGTGTTAGCAGGAAAATGGATCCTAAGTGGTGGCCAGCACTTGAACCAGGCACTGTGATAGGGGAAATAGTAGCTTAACTGCTCTGCCGCAACAACATTATTTTTTTAATATATTCATTTTATTTATGTGAAACATGGAGGGAGGGAGAGAACAAGAGAGCGAGAGAGAGAAAAATGAGAGAGAGAATGAGATCTCCCAACCGGTGGTTGACTCCCCAAATGCCTGCAACAGAATGGCCAGGGCTGGGCCAGGCTGGTCAGAAGCCAGGAACTCAATCCTGGTTTCCTGTATGGGTGACAGGGACTCAGCTACTCGAGCCATCACCTGCTGTCTGCCAGGGAACACATCAACAAGAAGCTGGAACTGGGAGTAGAGCCAGAATTTGAATCTAAGGCACTGGGATATGGGCCATGGGTATCCCAAGAGGCCCCTTAACTACCATGTCAAACAGTCACTCCAAAAACATTAGTAACAAGTTTTACCTAAAGATATCTACAGAATGTTTCACACATTAGAAATTGTACTTTAGGTCTAGCTTTATGCACAGTGGGGTAAGCCACCCCCTGGGTTACCCACATGCCCTATCAGAGTGCCTGGGATCAAATCTTGCCTCCACTTCTGATCCAGCTTCCTGCTAATGTGCCTGGGAGGCAGCAGATGATGGCTCAAGTACTTGGGTTCCAGCCACCCACATGGAGACCTGGATGGCTCCTGACTTGAACCTAGCCCAGTCCTGGTTGTTATAGGCATTTGGGGAAGTAAAGTAGCAAATTGAAGATCAATCTCTCTTTCTGCCTTTCAAATGAATAATCTTTTTAAAATGTATTTTTTCAGTCACACCTAGAATATTAAATGTGACCAAATCACAAAGCCAATTTCAAAATGACCATGACTCAAGATCAGCTGTCTTCAACCCATATGTCAATGTACCAAGAAACAGCATAATCATCCTAACTGAGATAATACACAGAGGGTAAGAAACTTTTACAAATCTGAAGTAGACACTAAATTGTAACAGTGTGTTCTCATCGCTCCAGGAGTTTTTTTGTTTTTGTTCTTTAAGATTTACTTATTTACTTGAAAGAGTTACAGAGAGAGGAGAGGCAGAGACAGAGAGGGCTTCCATCTGCTGGTTCACTCCTCAATTGGCTGCAATGGCCGGAACTATGCCGATCTGAAGCCAGGAGCCAGGAGCTTCCTCCAGGTCTCCCACGTGAGTGCAGGGGCCCAAGCACTTGGGCCATCTTCTACTGCTAGCAGAGAGCTAGATGGGAAGTGGAGCATGTGTAACTTGAACCGGCCACCATATGGGAGGCCAACACTGCAGGTGGTAGCTTTACCCGCTACACCACAGCACTGGCCCCAAGGAGCTTTTTAAAATACGCCTTCTAGTGCCTTATCCCAGATCTAAGGAGGAGTGGGTCTAGGCTCTGAAACACACTCACGCAGGACAGTGGGCCTCTATCAACATTGAGTCAACTCTCCTGGCCTCGACACATCAAAGTACTGCCAAGTCCAAATACTCTGCATTTCCATTTCGTGTAAAAGATCATGGCAAAGGGCCAGTGCCCCACAAAAATAGCCACAGAAGTCACAGATTTAAGAAACAGCCTAAGAACTCTGATACAAGCACCAATGAGAAATGCAAATGAGTTTTACAATATGGTTTAAATCTCTTCTCAGAAACTGTCAGGATGTTTATACTGGCACGATTCGCACTTTCAAAAACGTGACTATTTTCAGCTCTGTGAGATCCCAGAGGTAATCACTTGTGCACGAGTCCAACCTCACCCAAGACATTCACCAAGTGAAACATCTGCACCCAGCAGCCAGACCTTCTGAATGGCAGCAGCCCGGGGTGTCTGCCAGGCAGATACGGAGATACAGTGGCAAGTTCCAACACGTTCAAATGCCACTCTATGAGGGAAACTGCCTCACTTGTAGTATCTGTAAAATGCGGGCAGGCAATATGCACCTCACAAGATTTTATGGATTAAATGAGATAATAAATCCATTGTCTTCTGAGAAGTGAACATCCTCAGGGCAGTCTGCTGGGTTTCCTCACTCACTAATAGACTTGATAGCACTTACCACGGGCCACTTCCTGAACCCTGACCGCTTACATCTCTGTCACCCTCACTGGAAGATAAGCTCCTTAAAGATCAGAGGTTATCTTGTTTGAAGCATCCTGTTATAGTGCAATGTTGCGGCTCAATAGGCTAATCCTCCGCCTGAGGCACCGCCACACCGGGTTCTAGTCCTGGTTGAGGCGCTGGATTCTGTCCGGTTGCCCTTCTTCCAGTCTAGCTCTCTGCTATGGCCCAGGAGTGCAGTGGAGGATGGCCCAAGTGCTTCGGCCCTGCACCCGCATGGGAAACCAGGAGAAGCACCTGGCTCCTGCCATCGGATCAGCGCGGTGCGCCAGCCGCAGCGCGCCGGCCGCGGCGGCCATTGGAGGGTGAACCAACGGCAAAAGGAAGACCTTTCTCTCTGTCTCTCTCTCTCTCACTGTCCACTCTGCCTGTCAAAAAAAAAAAAAAAAAAAAAAAAAGTGCAATGTTGGGGCCAGCACTGTGGCATAGAGGGTAAAGCCCTGGCCTGCAACACCACCAGTCCCATATGGGTGTGGATTTGAGTCCTGGCAGCTCTACTTCTGATCTAGCTCTCTGTTAATGTACTTGGGTAAGCAGCAAAAGATGGCCCAAGTGCTTGGGCCCCTGCACCCTTGTGAGAGACCCAGAGGAAGCTCCTGGCTCCTGACTTTGGTCTGGCCCAGTCCTGACCATTGTAGCCATCTGGGAAGTGAACCAGCAGATTGAAGACGTCTCTTTCTCTCTGTAACTCTTTCAAACAAAATAAATATCTTTTTTTAAAGATTTATTTTATTTATTTGAATGACAGAGTTACAGAGAGAGGTAGAGACAGAGAGAGAGGTCTTCCATCTGCTGGTTCACTCCCCAGATGGCTGCAACGGCCAGAGCTGGGGCCATCCAAAGCCAGGAAGCAGGAGCCTCCTCTGGGTCTACCATGTGGGTACAGGGGCCCAAGGACTTGGGCCATCCTCCACTGCCTTCCCAGGCCACAGCAGAGAGCTGGATCGGAAGAGGAGCAGCTGGGACCAGAACTGGCGCCCATATGGGATGCCAGCACTGCAGGCAGAGGATTAACCCACTGCGCCACAGTGCCGGCCCCTCAAAAATGATTCCACGGACTCACAAGCGCCACTGCCATTAAGGCTGAGTGAGCACAGAGGAGGATGAGAAGTCCCTACTTCTGCTGCTATGGGAGTGATGCAATGGGAAACCTGTCTGCCACCTTCCTAACATCTAGTGAGCTAAACTTCTCTGAAAAGAGCTTATGTGTCAGACCACGAAACTTCTGCTGCAGGAACTTTTTACTGAGTTAGGTTCTTGTTTTCTGATTGTTCTAATCACAGAAGGGCTCATCATTTCAGAGGTTTAAAGAACAAATGTTGGGCATTTCTCTAAAAAAGACATAAAAACAGCTAACAGAGGCATGAAAAATGCTCAATATTACTAATCATTAGGGAAAGCACATCAAAAACCACAGTGGGGTATCTATCACTTCACACCTGTCAGAACAGCTATTATCAAAAAGAAAAAAGACACCAAGTGTAGTGAGGATGTGTACACTAGTATACACTGTTGATGGGAATGTAAATCAGTAGAACTATTACAGGAAACTGTGTGTGAGGAAGTTTTTTTTAAAAAAAGAAAACTAAAAATAGTATTACTATATGATGGAGCAAGCAATCACACTCTGGCTACTGACTCAAAAGACTTGAAATCAGGGGGCTGGTGCTATGGTACAGTAGATTAATCCTCTGCCTGCAGCCCCAGCATCCGTATGGGCACCAGTTCTAGACCTGGCTGCTCCACTTCCCATCCAAGCTCTCTGCTATAGCCTGGAAAAGCAGCAGAAGATGGCCCATGTGCTTGGGCCCTGTACCTGTGTGGGAGACCTAGAGGAAGTTCCTGGCTCCTGGCTTTGGATAGGCCCAGCTCTGGCCATTGTGGCCATTTGGGGAGTGAACCAGCAGAAGAAAGACCTTTCTCTCTGTCTTTCCCTCTAACTGCCTGTAACGCTATCTCTCAAATAAATAAACAGAATCTTTAAAAAAAAAAAAAAAAAAGATTTGAAATCAGTATGCTGAAGATGCACCAGCCCAGCACTCCAGAGTTCATTGGGACATTTTTCATAACAGTCAATTTATAGAATCAACCTAAGTCCATCGATGAATGAATACATTAAAAGGAATGGCGTATACACACAGTGGAATAATAATTAGCCTTACAAAAGAAGTAAATTCTGTCATTTGCCACAAGATGGATGGAACTGGAGAAGGTTAAGTGACGTAAGCCAGGCACAGAAAGACAAACACCATGTGTTCTCACTGATCTGTGCAATCTGCAACAACTGAATGTGAAGAAGCAGAGAACAGAATGATGGTTATGGAGCCAGTGGGCTGGGGAAATGAGGCAGAGATGGTCAAAGAGTACAAGCCCTAACTAAATGGGAGAATCAGTATTTTTGTTTTGTATTTTTCTTGCTTTGAGATATACTGCACAGCCTGGTAAATATAGTAAATAAATAAAATATATTATTATAAAATGTATAAATAATAAAATGCATCATAGTAAATAAAATTTATTATAATGTAAAGATAGTAAAGTTTAAATGTTTTCATCACAAAAAGTATTAGATTAAAAATAAGCAATATGTATTAATAACTGGCTTGATTTAATTATTCCACATTGTATTCATGGATCATAATATCGCTTTGTACCCCACAAACATATAATCTGTCAATTTCAAGTTTAAAATGAATAGCCATAAACGAATTCTCATCTTCAGTCTAAAAGTAAAAACAGTTCAAATCACACTAAGAATCTTATCTGACTAAAGATAATTACTGAAATATCAAATGACAAATTGTTAGCCATGAAAGTGTACAAACTATTCTAAGCTAGCCCAGCTCAGTGACAAAAATGGAGAGGATGTAAAATGACCATTTATCCACTTGTGCAACGCTCTTATGGAAAAGCATATCAAATGTAAGTTTACTTACCCTACTATCTCTATATACATCGAATACAACTGTAAAGAAGAGAAGAACTGTTATTAATGAAGGAATATTTCAATAATCGAAGTCTCCTTTTGAAAATTAAAGTGTATTTTATTACTGTTAGTGAAACATAGCACAATATAATTGACCTTGGGGTTCTTAATGCCTCTAAATCTCACAACTTCATACAAGAACGTCACCCTGCTTTCCTTTTCTCTATCCCCAATTGCAAGCCCTCATGTTTAAAAATTCAAGCCAAACAGTAACATCATCTCAACCTGCTCACTATTATTATTATTTTTTTAATTTTTTGACAGGCAGAGTGGACAGTGAGAGAGAGAGACAGAGAGATAGGTCTTCCTTTGCCATTGGTTCACCCTCCAATGGCCGCTGCAGCCGGCGCACCGCGCTGATCCGATGGCAGGAGCCAGGTACTTATCCTGGTCTCCCATGGAGTGCAGGGCCCAAGGACTTGGGCCATCCTCCACTGCACTTCCCTGGCCACAGCAGAGAGCTGGCCTGGAAGAGGGGCAACCGGGACAGAATCTGGTGCCCCGACCGGGACTAGAACCCGGTGTTCCGGCGCCACAAGGCGGAGGATTAGCCTAGTGAGCTGCGGCGCCGGACCCTGCTCACTATTATAAATTGGTCATCTCAGAACAAGGGAGGCTGCTAGTGAAAAAGTACTAGTGAAAGGAGCACCGATCGCTTATTTGGGGTATGAAATGAGGAGCATTCGTAATAAGAAATCTAACTGCACTTGTGGAATGACTCTTTTTGTTATTTATTTTTTATTTGAGAGAGAAAGAGAGAGGGACAGAGAAAGACAGAGCTCTCATGTTTCGTTCACTCCCCAGATGCTGGCGATGGCCCATCTGAGCCAACACTGCTATCTCCCAGGGTCTGCCATAGCAAGAAGCTGGAGTCGGGGGCCACAGCCGGGACCTGAACACAGGTAGTCCAGTGTGGGACACGGGCATCTTAACCACGAGGCCACATGCCTGCCCCAGTTCAAAATTCCACAGAAGACAGTGTTGGCAAGTAAAGAAAACAGAAATGACTGTAGACAGAGTTTTAAGATGTATAAAATTCTCTCTCACACAACTGACTTCCAATTCCTAAAAACAACTCACAGTTGTTTACTTTGTGAGTGGTGCTGCCTTTGATCATTCAAAGAAGACAGGGAGGCAGAAGCACTTTGTTCTCACAAGACAGACCTTCCCAAATATACACTCACACAGCTAAAGTGACAGGACAGAGAACTGGCTCTGTATTACAGAGTCTCATTCAATAAGGTAAAGTTAGCATGCAAGCCATCAGCAATACCAAAAAGTAATAAGATGAGTTCTACAGAGACAGTATTTCAGATTCAGTTTTTAAAATATACATGGTCCAGCAGCATTATGTATTCTTGGGTCAATAAAAATACTCACAGTCTTCATCTAAGAATTTATACTGGATGTGTTTCTTGAAGAAGTCTTGTATGCATCTGCAAATGTCTTCCTTTTGTTTAGAAATATGATCATAGTACTGTGTGTAGTCTCTTTGAGAAATACCTGACAAAAAAAATTTTATACTGTATTATTATACCACGTTCTCTTCAAAAACACCAACATGAGACTTACACTTTTTTGTGAGAGAACCACTGAAGTGGATCAGAGACCAATTAGATGAACATTGCCTTACACACCCTATTCAGTCGTAAAGGCTCAGGCAGATATGCGAATCCTAAAGTTCTACGTTGCCAGGCATCCTTACTTTGGGAAAGCTAATTTTACTTAGTACAATGGAAAGAATTCAAAGTCACAAAACAGTTAGTTATGTAAGAAATGAAGCAAGCAATTTTTAGGCCTGCACCCATAGATATCAGCTGCTGCTTTGATTTTTCAAGGAAATATCTACAAGCTGTGTTCTCTTCTACTTTCTTTGGGAAAACTGACAGTACTCCTCACCATATGTCTGCCACATTCATACTGGATTTCATAGAAGTCGTCTGTTTCTTGCGCTAATGAGCGACTCTACCTTCCCAAGCCTGATTTTTCAAGCCACGGAAAGCACATGCTCCTCTTTTGAAAGTGACTTGCTGACACGATTCCAAATACGTCTAAGGACTATTATGTGCACTGTCAGTTTGCTGGAGTCCTAGGAAAAAGGCCTCTGCTCTGAAATAAGGATTTCTCATTCCTTCATCAGAAGCCACACGACTCCCCTCGTTAGCACGCTTACATTGCAAGTTGTTCAGGTATATGTGACAATATGACAAATTCAAACATCCCAGATCCCTTTTAGTTAACAATACTGATTTTATTCTACTCAAATTGCACTTTTCTGGGTTGAAGAGAAATATTATTTTATGGAAAACATACACAGACTAAAGAAAAATATAACTATTTTCAACACTTAATTTGAACAAACTATAGCAAACAAAACAGTAAACTGAGGAAAGATCTAGAGTAACTTACTTATTTGTCCACATATTTTCTCTTGCTAGAATAATAAACAGTGCTCCAGTAATATCAATAAAGTTTCAAAAACTTGGCTTTTTATGATGCTTAAAATAAGCAATTTATTGCTAATAGTACTTGAAATACCTCAAACAGAAAGCAGGTAATAGTATGTGTATCCTAAATTAAGAATGGTAACTACAATCAATTTCATTTCTGAAATCTAGGCAGACATAACTGATAGTATCTTCTTCTGGGAAAACTGCATATGAGCTCAGGATCTCTATCAACACAGCATTCCAGACAGTACCAGTTGGGGAGAGGCGGCATCTCAGAACTATCTGATAGAGACCCTTGTCTTAATTACTGGAAATTTACTTCTGTCATAGCTTATCTTCTCTCTAGGTTTTTTGTAACTTTCATTTGACACATAATAATTACGCATATTTATGAGGACTACTGTGATACACATATACCATGTAATGATCCAATGATCTTATTAATACAATGGAATACTATTAAAATAGAATACTATTTATTCTTCATAAAGAATAACTCATTTGTGGTAACATGGTTCTCTACTTTTAAAGAGTACATTTTTATTTAAAAAATATTTACTTATTTATTTATTTAAGTCAGAGTTACAGACAGAGGTAGAGACACAGAGAGAGATCTTCAATCTGCTGGTCCACTCCCCATTGGCCACAACGGCCAGGGCTGGGCCAGGCCAAAGCCAGAAACTTTCATGCAGGTCTCTGACATGAGTGGCAGAGGCCCAAACATTTGGGTCATTTTTCTTGCTTTCCCAGGCACATTAGTGGGGAGCTGGACCAGAAGTAGAACAGCCAGCACTTGAACCAGCACCCATATAAGATGCGGCAGCAGGGCCAGCACTGTGGAATAGTGGGCAAAGCCAAAGCCAACAGTGCCTATATCCCATATGGGCGCCGGTTCGGGTCCCAGCTGCTCCACTTCCAGACCAGCTCTCTGCTATGGCCTGGAAAAGCAGTGGAAGATGACCCAAGTCCGTGGGCCCCTGCACCCACGTGGGAGACCAGGAAGAAGTGCCTTCAGATTGGTACATCTCTGGCCATTACAGTCGACTGGGGAGTGAACTCTCTCTCTCTGCCTCTCCTTCTCTCTCTGACTTTCATATAAATAAATAAATCTTAAAAAAAAAAAAAAAAAGATGCAGTGGCTTACCCTGCTGTGCCACAATGCAGCCCCCAAAAGTACTTTCAAATGTAAAAAATAACTCACCAATAAGCTTGTTTTCCTTTACAAAACATCTGAATTCAGCCCCAGGAATCAATTCACACCATTTCCGAAGAACAAGCTGTAGACAAAGAAAAAAAAAAATGCGACACAATTATGCAATAAGACTAACTAGACAATTTTATACCAAAACTTTATCTTAATAACTGCCATTATTAAATTGCTTTAAAAAGAGGGATCACAAAATATTCTGAGGATGAGATATGGAGAACAGAGTTTTGATTTATTATTCTAATAAGCAACGGAAATTGTGGTAAAACTCCATGCTAAAAATAAATCTTTGTCACTTTTCATTTTGAGAGTTCTGACATAATACACAGCACCAAGGAGGAATAAGTTAAATCTTATCATTGTTAGGCCACAGTTACCTGGAATTCAAGTTCTATACTCCTCTATGAATGCTGAAAAATAACATAATTTCAAAGTTCGCTACCTTTAAGCACCATTCTGTAATACTTACTCTGATAAAATTCTTTAGGAATATCACAAAGAATCATTTAAACCTATGATTTTCACATTTTTCTTTTGAATATTATGCAAGAGGAGAGCAGCAGGAGGAGAGAGGGAGGGTGGGAGAGAGAGAGCACACTCTCTCATTGCTGGTTGATTCCCCATGTACCTGTAAAGGCCCTCAGGTGGGGTGGAATCTGGGTGCTGGGAACTCAATCCAGGTTTCCCACAAGGGTGGCAGAAATCCAATTATTTGACCCATCCATCACAGCTGCCTCTCAGGGTTTGCATTAGCAGAAAGCTCCTAGAGCCAAGAGCTCTAGTACCCCAGGTGGGGTAGGAGTGTCTTAACTGGTAAACTAAATGCTGACCCCCATTATTGTACAGTAAGCCAATTTACCAGTGGTCTAAGTCCTAAGTGGGTCTTATTACTGTAATATATATATATATATATATACACACACACACACACATACATACACACACATACATTCTGAGAGTCCCATCCCCAGACGGGAAGTACAAAGCCTTCTCCACCTGTGGCTCTCACCTATTGGTTGTTTGCTTATTTTACGGATCTGGTTTAGGCTTGTATCTCAGTGCATCCTTCTCCACCTCTTCCAGGAAGAGTGCTGTTGCCTCACTGATGTACACCCTGGTCACCCTTATGTTGAACCCCTTCATCTACAGCCTGAGGAACAGGGACATCAATAGAGCTCTGCAGAGAATTGGCAACAGAACAACCTAATCTCACTGACCTTGCCATCCTTGTGTTCCTAGAACTGAAATGGGCAGCTCCAAGAAGTCCTGAGTCAGAGTCCTCAGGGCACAGCGTGTGAAGGCATGTATCATCATCCCCATGTCTTTTGGGCTTCTCTTTGCACAACCGTTCCTCTCAATATATGGGATGCTAGTGCTGTAGGCTGGGGCTTTAACTTGCTGTGTCACTGTGCAGGCCCCAGGTTGGAGCTCTTAAAATCACTACTCTATTTTCCACTTGCACTTTTTTAATAAAACGTCACTCATGGTCACTAACCTTATCTACATTGGAAGTGTGGTGTATTCCACTAATCCCTTCTCTCCCCACTAAGGCCTCAGTGTTTGAAAGACCCCCTTCAGTTCCCATTTCTGTTCACCAGTTTTTCCCTCTTTGCCTTTGTCTTGCAGTAACTATTGGACCCATTGCCCATATTTGTTCTCTCCATTAAGATAACTAGATTTGTTTCGTTTCTTGACTGATGAATACATCATGACATGGGGCAAAAGGTAGAGGATGAGCTGTCTGTGATGGGAGTATTTAAAAATGTGCACAAGGGGGCAGTGCAGTAGTGCAGTAGGTTAAGCCTCTGCCAGCAGTACTGGCATCCCATATGGGTGCTCTCATATACAGCATGAGATTCCTAATCCAAAAATTCAAAACAGCCCAAAACTCAAAACCATTTTTAAAAATTTATTTCATTTCAATTCAATTCAAAGGAAGAGAGAGGGAGAAAGAGGGAGAAAAAGATCTTTGATCTGCTGGTTCACTCCTCAAATGCCCATAACAGCTAGGGCTGAAGCCAGGAGCCTGACACTTCACCCAGGTCTCCCACATGGGTCACAGAGACTGAAGTATTTAAGCCATCACCCACTGCCCCTCAGGTGCACGTTAGCAGGAGGCTGGATCAGAAATGAAGTAGCCAGACATCAAATCAGGCACTCCGACTTGGGATGCCAGTGTCCCAAGAGCTGTCTTAACCACTGCACCAAATGCTTGCTCCTCTCCAAAATCTCTTGAGTGTCATGTTAGTACTCCGAAAGTTTCAGATTTGCAGCACTTTTTTTTTTTGACAGGCAGAGTGGACAGTGAGAGAGAGAGACAGAGAAAGGTCTTCCTTTTGCCATTGGTTCACCCTCCAATGGCCGCCGTGGCCAGCGCACCACGCTGATCCAAAGCCAGGAGCCAGGTGCTTCTCCTGGTCTCCCATGTGGGTGCAGGGCCCAAGGACTTGGGCCATCCTCCACTGCATTCCCGGGCCACAGCAGAGAACTGGCCTGGAAGAGGGGCAACCGGGACAGAATCCGGCGCCCCGACCGGGACTAGAACCCGGTGTACTGGCGCTGCAAGGCGGAGGACTAGCCTATTGAGCCGCGGCGCCGACCTAACAGCACTTTTTTATTTCATGTTTTTGCATCAGTGATGTTCAACCAGTCAGGTCTAAGCAAATATTCTGAAGTCCAAAACAATTCAAAATCTGAAACACAACTGTTGCATTTTGGACAAGGTACACTCAACCCGTATTACTGTATCATCGAACTGCTACAATTTTAGAAAAGTTGACAAATGGATGCTTCTCTCTGGGTTTTCAAAATGCTCTTTGGAGACAACCAGTCCCGTTCTTTGGCAGCACTGACCAATGATAAATGGCTAACATCTCCGCCCTCCCTAGTGGATGCACCTCTTCTCCCTTCAAGACCTGTGTCCTGGAAGTGGACATCCGGCAGTTAAAATGCCCACACCCTCCATCTGAGTACCTGGGTCCAATGCACACCACTGGCTCCTAGGTCTACCGTCCTACTAATGCAGATCCTGAGAGGCACCCCATGATGACACAAGTAATCGGGTTCCTGCTGCCCACATGAGACCTGCATAGTCCCCAGTTTCCGGCTTTAGTTTAGCCTTGGCAGTCACAGGCATTTGGAGAGTATACCAGCATGTGTGAGCTCTCTTTCTGGCTTCTTTCTCTTAAGCATCTAACATTTAGAAATTTAGAAAAGGGGTTGACATTGTGGCATAGCGGGTAAAGCTGCCACCTGTGATACTGGCATTCCATATGGGTGCCAGTTCGAGTCCTGACTGCTCTACTTCTAAGCCAGCTCCCTACTAATGCCCCTGGGAAAGCAGCAGAAGATGGTGTAAGTGCATGGGCCCCGTACCCCCGTGGAAAACACAGAAGTTCCTGATTCCTGGCTCAGCCCTGGCTGTTGAGGCCATCTGGGGAGTGAACCAGCAGGTGGAAGACCTCTCTGTCTCTCAACTAAAAATAAAATAAATTTTTTTTTAAATCAGAATACAAAATATATGTCTCAGAAATTTAAAACATACTGAATTCATTTTCATTACTGTGAGCTCTTGGTCAAGCCTTGTATATGTCATATTTTATAAAAGAACCCAAGTATTGGGGCTGGCATCATGGCACAGAGGGTAAAACTGCTGCCTGTGATACCAGCATCATCCCATAGAGCACTGGTTTAGGCCTGGTCCAGCCCTAGTGACTGTGGCCATTTGGTAAGTGAACCAAAGGATGGAAGATATCTTTCTCTATCTCCTTCTCTGTAACTCTGCCTTTCAAATAAATAAATAAATAAAAAACAAGTATTTTAAATGAAGACCCTCAAACCAAAATATTACACAGTTCTTATCTATTAAAAGCTGACAGCTGGCTGGTGCCACGGCTCACTAGGCTAATCCTCTGCCGGCGGCGCTGGCACCCCAGGTTCTAGTCCCGGTTGCCCCTCTTCCAGTCCAGCTCTCTGCTGTGGCCCGGGAAGGCAATGGAGGATGGCCCAGGTCCTTGGGCCCTGCACCCGCATGGGAGACCAGGAGGAAGCACCTGGCTCCTGGCTTCGGATCGGCGCAGTGCGCCGGCTGTGACAGCCATTTGGGGGGTGAACCAACAGAAGGAAAACCTTTCTCTCTGTCTCTCTCACTGTCTAACTCTGCCTGTCAAAAATAAATAAATAAATAAATAAATAAATAAATAAAATCTGACAGTAGCATACATGCATATATTTAATGGCTACAGTGATTTTTTATTTGTAGCAAATAAACAAGCAATTGTACCATATGAATAGCAACTTTTTGAAAGTTCACATTATCTTTATTGAAATAATGTCTTGCACAAGCAGTACATACAGTGTGGTTGATTTTAAAAGGTGCATCTCTCGGGGCCGGCGCTGTGGCACAGTGGGTTAACGCCCTGGCCTGAAGCACTGGCATCCCATATAGACGTCGGTCCTAGTCCCAGCTGCTTCTCTTCCAATCTGGCTCTCTGCTGTGGCCTGGGAGAGCAGTAAAAGATGGTCCAAGTCCTTGGGCCCCTGCTCCCATGTGGGAGACCTGGAGGAAGCTCCTGGTTCCAGGCTTTGGATCGGTGCAGCTCCGGCCGTTGCGGCCATCTGGGGAGTGGGCCAGCGGATGGAAGACCTCTCTCTTTCTCTGCCTCTCCTCTCTGTGTAACTCTGACTTTCGGATAAATACATAAATTAAAAAAAAAAAAAAAAAGTGCATCTCTCCTCTACCATGTCCCATCCTCCTCAGAGACAACGGTGCTGTTTGTTCCTTGTATGTACCTCCAGAAGTATTCTATGAGTACGAGTGTATCGTGCTTATGTATACTTCCTAAGACACAGACAGGAACATCAAAGCACAGGATTCTGTTGACAACTTTTTTTCATCTTAATTACGTAGAGAGTATCACTTTCCCAGGCTCTGAAAGCTGGGTTTTAAACTCTACGCACTAACAGGCTGCTGGTGCTGAGAGGAAAGTGCGGTAAACAACCTCAGGCGCCACCGATGGCATCTCAGTGAGGAGCACGCCTGAGACAGAGAGAGGGGCTAAGGAAACCAGCTTGTTCGTGTTTATGTCTCCAGCAAAAAGTAATAAGACACAGCAGGTGCTTAACACACAGGGGCTTGTTCAGTGAAACCACAGATACAAATCTATTCTGTATGTATAAGTCATGTTATCAGACTTCTTAATGAGCTGGGAAAATGTTCACACTGGGCTACGAAAGTGAAGAAAACCTCACAAATGGTAGGTAAAAATCTCCATTACAAGTGCCCTAACATCTAGTCATTGCAGGTGGCCTGAAATAGAGTAAACTAACTGGTCTACATATACTGTGTCATCAATCAGAAAACCAACATATATTTACACAACACACTAAAATGACAATATGGGAAGTTCCAGAAAGCTTGAAAGCATGTATATCACACAAAAATGGTGAGAAACAAGCAGACAATGAAGAAACTAAAACAAAAAAAATCCCTGTACTAGCTTCACTGGTATTATAAAGTAAAAAATGAAAATGTTTTGAAATTATGGAGCAAGATGGTCATCAAATTATTAGCTGTCTATCTTTCAAAAGTCTGGCATCTTGGCAATGCCAAGTGCAAGAAGAACCAAGAGTGATGGTAAACATGGTGCATCTGGGATGGTGCTGAAACCCGGAACCAGAGTTTAACAGAAAGGTATGTTCCAAATCCATTCACGACAGCGAAGAGCGTCTGACCATCACGTGTGCAGGGTTTACACTCTCAAAACCAGGAAACTATGGAACAGAAACTCGAGTCTGCCATTCAACTCATTATGATTTCTAGTGAAGTTGCGTTTTCACTAGCTTCATGCTTTTCTAAGTTATTTTTAAGATGAGTAAACAATGTAAAAAAAAATTAAAAAGCTAACATGGTGATGACTTGTTTCCTGGTATATCAGGCTAAAAACTTAATCAGGTTTGGCAGGGGGTGGTGGTGGGGGGTGGTGCAGGGGGTGTCAAGAGTACCAAGTATTTGTTTCATTAAAGAATATTTAACTTCATATGTATTCTATGAGTATAATAGATATATTTCATAAATTTAAACATTTTGTGGCTCTAGGTTTCTAGGGAAATCAATCTAAAAAATTTCATTCATTTCACTTAAGAATAAATGGCAGGGCTGGCACAATGGTGTAGCAGGTTAAAGCCGCGGCCTGCAGCACTCGCATCCCATATGGGCACTGGTTCGAGTTCCGGCTGTTCCACTTCCGATCCACCTCTCTGCTATGGCCTGGGAAAGCAGTAGAAAATGGCCCAAGTCCTTGAGCCCCTGCATCCCTGTGGGAAACCCAGAAGAAGCTCCTGGCTCTTGGCTTCGGATCAGCTCAGCTCTGGCCATAGCGGTCATTTGGGGAGTGAACCAGCAGATGGAAGACCTCTCTCTCTCTCTCTCTCCAGCTCCACCTCTCTCTGTAATTCTGTCTTTCAAATAAATAAAATAAATCGTTAAAAAAAAAAAAAAAGAATAAATGGCAGGGCTGGCACAGTGGTGTAGCAGGTAAGGCCACCACCTGCAGCGCCAGCATCCCATATGGGCACCGGTTCAAGTCCCAGCTGCTCCACTTCCAATCCAGCTCCCTGCTATGGTCTGGGAAAGTTGTGGAAGATGGTCCAAGTGCTTGGGCCCTGCATCTGCATGGGAGACCTGGAAGAGGCTCCTGGTTTCAGATCAACACAGCTCCTGCCATTGCAGCCATTTGGGGAGTGAACCAGCAGACAGAAGTTCCTCTCTTTCTCCCTCTCTGCCTCTCTGTAACTCTGCCTTTCAAATAAATAAATCTTTAAAAAAAAAAAAAAAGAAGAAGAAGAAGAAAAGCAATTTTCAACTCACCTTCATCTAGGATTATCAATGTCATCAAAGTGTCTTACCTCATATTCCAAACAAGGATCTGGAGAATCATCAGTACAGTGAATAAATCTTTGGAAGGAAAAGAAACGCAATTGAGTGTTTTTAAATGGAGGTCAATTTATGTGTACATATTTAACTATACCTTCCATGAGAGCAATGCTCTACCGACAGCATCCAGAAGCAGGACACTAATTCAGATTCAATGAACATTTACTAAGCATTATTGCAAGCTATGCCTAGGAACCACATTTAATTCTCAAAACAACATCAGGAGTTCTTAGAATCCTACAGACAGTATAAATGACATGTTGATCAAAAGGCAAAGAAAGTAAGACCCAGAAAAGCCCAAATTTAGCAACTCGGCCAGTACCAACACTCTAATCATCTAACTCCAGATTCTCAAGGGAGGCAGGCCAGCCCCACCATTTTACACATTTTCTGTGATTCCCCAGGGCAAGAGCTGGCAGTCTACTTCCCCTTAACATTCATTGTGCCAGGGCAAGCCACAAAAAGTTAATTTAACCCTTTTTCCACATGCCATCTTAATAAACGTCTGATAGACTTATTCAATCTTCCACTAAGTACAAAATCCTGCTTCATGAACAATATTTCACATGATTTATTATTAAATGTCCACCTATATCAAAGATTGAGCTAGGTGCTGGGGGAAACAAGAACAACATACTCTGACAGCACAAAGGAGGAACTGATTAGCTATGTGTTGTGTGCGGAAAGGAAGCGTGAGCTGAGACAGGAAGTAGAGTGACAGGTCCTGTGGTTGTCCAAGACTGACAGGAGGCCGGTACTGCAGCTGAAAGAGGGGAGGGCCAAGAGACGATGCTGAACACAGATTTTGGACATGGAGTATCGGATCATGAAGGGTCTTGTTTGCCTTAACCTAGGGAGGTAGCACTTTATTATATAGACAGTTGGAAACTACAAGAAGTTTCTAAATTTGAGAGGTCTTCAAAAAGTTCACGGGAAATGTGTGTTATGAAAAAAAAAAGTGTGGATTAAAAAAGTTTTGCAGCAAAATAAACCTATCTTTTTATTCCATTTTTCCGTGAACTTGAAGTATCCTTGTATGTGAGGGTGATCATTACAGTTAGACATTAAGAATGTCACCACGGCACAATGGTATTAGATAGTTTAGGGGAAAGAGGGGCAACACGGGAGGCAGAGAGGCCACAGCCTCAGTGAGGGATGAGGGGCTTACTAAGGCAAAGGGAGTGGAAGGTAGAGGAGAAGCACTAAAGAAAGACACTTAGAAGGCAAACTCCATAGAAACTGGTGACTGACGGAAAGGGAAGTTCAAGCAAAAAAGGGGCCAGGATGGCTCTCAATTGTCTGGCTTTGATGAGTGCTTGGAGGCTGATGGTGATGCCATTCACTAAGATAGGAGGAAAAACGAGTGGTGTGGGGTGAGAACAGACAGGAGAGACACTGTGTTTGGCTGTGTGGAATGGAGGCAACTATGGGAGAACCACACAGAAACACTCAGAGAGCGGCTGGGAATAATGAGAGGCAGAAGTGGAGGACGACAATTTGGAGGTAACAATCACGAGGGTTAGGAGCCAAAGTCAAGAAAATAGAAGCCGTCACCTTAGGTAGAAGACAGAATCCTGGAGAATGGCAACAATTAAAGAGTGCTTAAAAAAAAAAGCTGAGAAGAAAGCAAAAATAACAAATACAGGAGATGAATGAGAGAATGACATCCTCAAAGCTAAGGGAAGAGAGACAACAGTAAGAGGTGAATTGACTCAAACACCACTAAAAAGTGCAAGACTGTCCGCTGGATCTGGTGACTTCTGCTGGAAGAATTTTAGAGAGCTCTGATGAAGGCAGAAACTAGACTGCAGGCAACCAAGGAATGAACAGGAAGTCAGGACACAAAACGAAACACTTGACAGCAGCCTGACTGTGAAGAGTGGAAGAGAAAGGACATGCAGAGGAAAAGAAAGGCAGTCTGTATGTGGCTGTCCTCACTTGCCATTTGTGAGTCTTTAAGAGTGCCGTGAGTCAGCAGGGAGGGCTTGACAATACAGGAGAGAAAAGCAAAGGAAGTGAGCTGCCTAATCTATACAGCATCTCCACTGCAGTACATGACTTGTAATACACACTTATACAGGGGTCAAGATACATTTTTTAAAAACACACAAAAACAACAACAAAAAAACTTTTAACAATGTCTTAAACCATTTACAAGTAAAAATGAATTTGAAGAGCTTTTTTAATTTCCCTAAATACATGATTAACTTGGAATTCTCCATAATCATTTATGATTTATACTACAAACAGTAACATTTTAGTTAGATTGGCTAAAATTTTAAGAATATGAACTTCTAGTACCACTAATAATCAGGCATTGACTGATACAATCCACATTGCAAAGAAAGGCATACACAGGGTGCTTTGTTAAAAAGTCAGCGAGTTTTCTCTATGAATAGGTTTATTTATTTATTGAATACTAAATACGTACCAGGCACCATATGAAGCACTGTACATTTGCCATTTCATTTAATCCTTCAATAACCCTGTGAAAAAGTACTATTATAATTACCCACATTTATTACATAAGGATACCCAGGTTCCAATGGCCAGGTAACAAGTGGGAAAGCTCAGGAAACCACACGCTGGCCCATTTCTCTGGAGATTTTAGATCTGATGGCGGAAGCTCTCAGGGCAAGTTAAAGGACAAACCCACCCAAAATCCCTAAATACTGGTGGCTCTAGGCTCAAACAGCTAAAAAACAAAGAAAAACACACACACACAAACTGTATCATTAATCAAATCCCATTTCCATATTATCAGATGAATCTTCCCAAACACCAAAGGGTGAACTTCTGTCTTCACATAGGTAAGCAAGCGCTGGTGCTATTTTAAGAGTTCTCTCTCTCTCTCTCTCTCTCTCTCTCTTTCTCTCTCTCTCTGTAACTCTACCTCTCAAATAAATAAATAATCTTAAAAAAAAAAAGAGTTTATTTTTCTCCAGAAAGCAAAAAGCCCTTGCTTCAAATAAAACTAATTTAAAAGTATACCCAGAAGAGTTACAATCTAAAAATAGAAAACTAGTTTTTGATATATTTAAAGATTTTTTAAAATAAAGATTAGTCTCCTAAGCTGTTTCATATTAATCAAAATTAAGGTCATGAACTGTCAAGTTAATAAAAATTATCATAATTGTCTTTATCCTTACAAAATATCTCAGCCTTTTCCTCCAGGATCAGCAGACTGGTAAGTGTTACATTTCTACAAATTTTGATTTTAACCCTTAACTAATCCTCACATTGCTGCTTTTAAGCAGGTCCACACTTTAATACATATTTGCATTCCACCATCTTGTAACATTATTGTGAAAGGTAGATGCTTCCACCTGTATGTTATTTTTTAAGCTTGCAAGTTTCAGAAGGAGGAAGTGAGAACATATGTGCTACAGAGCTTATTGTACGAGGTCTTGTCTTATTAAGATGATTAACCAGATGGCCAAGGATCCACACAGACAGGAAAGTGCTGAGCCCTTAAGCCAAGATTGAATAGAAAGGTCCACAATAAGGCATTTTGGAGCTCAGCTGACAAATTGTAAATTACACTGTGTGTGAATAAATTCCATTTATATTATAAGGAGGTAGGTTTATTTAAAAAAAATTTCTGAAATATTTTTCCTGGGTTAGTAAATATTTCATACTAATTGGGAAGATTTCTTTAATTATAAATTTCAAGAAGGTACCAACAGAAAGTATGTTTTAAATCAGTGGCACTAATTTAGGTTGCAAGTTGGTTCTTATGCTGAATTTTAGGCTTGTAATTCTTTGTAGGATAATTACAAGTTCTCTAGTAGCCTTTTTTAGAAAAAAAAAAAAAAAAGATTGATTTCTTTATTTGAAAGGCAGAGCTACAGAGAGGCAGATGTAGAGAGAGAGAGGTTTTTCATCTGCTGGTTCACTCCCCAGATGGCCACAACAGCCGGAGCTACGGCAATCCGAAGCCAGGAGCCAGGAGCTCCCTCCGGATCTCCTATGCAGGTGCAGGGGCCCAAGGACTTGGGCCATCTTCTACTGCTTTCTCAAGCCATAGCAGAGAGCTGGATGGGAAGTGGAGCAGCTGGGATTTGAACCGGCGCCTATATGGGATGCCAGCATTACAGGAAATAGCTTTACCTGCTATGCCACAGCGCCGGCCCCTCCAGTAGCCATTAAATCTAAACACAAATGTTATTAAATAATGAATGTTATGCAGTCTACAATATAAACTACAAACTAAAAGAATTCTCATATAACAGTAAAACATTTATTTTGAAGGAAGGAAGAGAAAAATCTGCAAAATCTACTTTGATGAGAGCTACTGTGAAATTATGGCAGCCTCTTTTCTAATAAACCAGGGAACTGCCAGTTAACAGGAATTTTTGAAAAGGAAATAAAAAGGATTCTAGCCCCAAAGTAAAAGAACTAGGCTTAGCTAGAGCAGATGACTAACAGGACTGTTGCTTTCTTTCCTTTTATTTCTACCCAAGCTCCTTCCCAAATCATTCCCTCGGTTTAAACAAGGTTGGGTTTCCTGCCGACCAAATGGTCTGACTATAAATAGGCATATTTATTAACCCCAAACATGTTTTGAGACTGTTTCTGTGGTCCTCGTAACTCACCAACACACAGGTTCTCTTGTGCTGTTCTCAGTTTCATACACTGAAAGGGCGAATGTAAACCACTCAGTGATGAGAGTGCAGGTCTGGGGCCTCAGGAGAGACGAGGGGAGCGTGGAGAATCAGGAAAACAGGGATGCAAGATATGGAAGGTGAAATGTCTTATAACATCATGTAGATGAGAGAGTATGCATGGGTCTTACGACGGTGGCTGTGCTTAATTAAGAAATACATTGGGAGAAAGCTATGTAGAGGTAGAGACCAGAGGCTACTTTAGCGGCAAACACTTGAGTTGGAAACGAATCCTACCTGTTGGGGGTTAGGGGTGAGATTCTAGTACTGGGCCGGCGCCACGGCTCACTAGGCTAATCCTCCACCTTGCGGCGCCGGCACACCGGCTTCTAGTCCCGGTTGGAGTGCCGGATTCTG